TTTTTAAAAAAGTACATTAATGTGGTTGCATAAGTGAGCACATGCTTAGACTAATCCTTTGTCTTTTGGAGTAGGAGTCAGCATGACACATCATTGTCCACTCTTCCTTGAAAAAGTGGTCTGAATCTGTTAGATTGTGAGGACATCTATATACAGCCTTCTTCAGTCACCCCACAGATTTTCAGTTGGATTCAGATTTGGGCTCCAGCTGGGCCATTCCAAAACTTTGGTATTCTTCTGATGAAACCATTCTTTTATCGATTTGAAGGTATGCTTTCGACCATTGTTGTGTTGAAAGGGGAAATTCTTTTCCAAATTCAGCATTTTAGCAGATATCTGATTTTGCCAACATTGACTGATATTTGGAACTGTTCATAATTCCCTGTACCTTGACTAAAACAACAGTTCCAGCTGAAGAAAAGCGGTCCCAAAGCATAATGCTGCCATCACACATGCTTCACTGTGGGTATGGTTACTTTCGGTAATACATAGTGTTGTTTTCGCACAAAAAATAATGTTTGAATGATGGCCAAAATGTTCAGCTTTGGTCTCATCAGACCATAACACATTTTCCAGTCCTTCTGTCAGACTTGATGTAGATTTTTGCAAAAATGTAGCCAGGCTATTTTCTTTGTAAGAAAAGACTTTCACCTTGCCACCCTACTCCACAGCTCAGACATATGAAGAATATGAGAGGTTGTTGTCAAATGTAGTACACAACCCAGCATTTGCCAGAAATTCCTGCAGCTCCTTTAATGTTGCTGTAGGCCTCTTGGCAGCCTCTCAGACCAGTCTCCCATCAACTTTGGAGGGACCCCTAGTTTTTGGTAATGTCACGGTTGTGCCATATTTTTCCACTTGTTGATGACTGTCTTTGCTGTGTTCCATGGTATGTCCAATGCTTTGGAAATGTTATTGTACCCTTCTCCTGATGGATATCTTTCAACAATGAAATCCCTTTTTTGCTTTATAAGCTCTTTTCAGACCATGGCTTTTGCTGTAAGAGGCAACTGAGTAAATGTCAGGAAAAAAATCCTAGTAGAACAGCTGAACTTTATGTGGGCTTGATCAAAGTCACTTGAATTGGTGGCAGGCATGTACTGACTGCTCTTTAGCCTCAATTTGAATGTGATTGGTTAATTCTGAACATAGGCACATCCTTACTTATAAGAGGGTGTGCACACTTTCACAACCACTTTATTGTATGTTTTTTTTAATTTTTATTCTTCCTCACAAAGATTTCAATCTGTTTTTCAATTGAATTTACTGCTTATATATTGTATTAATGGTGGGGAAAAATTGAAATAATTTTTCTTGGTCTGATTGTTTTACATCTCAAAAACCAGACATTTTAACAGACTTTTTATATCCACTGTAGCGATAGACTACATTTTTTTTTACATCTAATTAATCCCTGTCTCTAAAGAATGTCTTTGAGCAAGCTTGTTAGAGAGATGGGAAACGAGTGGATAGAAATTATTTGTTTCAAGCAGATCACATGCCCTTTTTGTAAACTTATGCTATTGTGTGAACGAGTAAGGAATAACTTCTAAAGCATATGAATGAACCTTTGGAGCTTGTGAGCAGAAGGAGAAACAAGTACATCTGAATCCAGAAAGAGTGGAAATGATAAAATGAACTCCTTCTCCCTGTCCCTTTCTATCCCCCTTCCTTATCATCAGAGAAAACATTTTTAAGTTTCCTGAAATTGGTGTTGTTTGTTGAGATGCAGATAAATTGTTACTGAGCACACTTCATTCATTTTAGATTAATATAAGATCCTTTTCTTCTTCTAGACATCACAGATCTTGCTGCATTGGTTCATTTTTTCCCAGGAGTGTTCGGTTTGCTATATATGGGACAGATTGCAACTAAGATATTTGACTGCTTTATATGGAAGCTCTGAAAGCAATTCACCTATCTTGCTATATCCTATAATACTGTTAACATTGGACCCTAGGGTAAAAACTAAGTAGCAAGTGACAAACAGATCCAACATGATCAGTTGTGTAAATATGGTCATTATAAAAATATACCTTAATTTTTTTCATATAATGGTTAAATTTTCAAGAATTTGAATATGAATTCTATATATTGCTGTCAGAATGATTCTAGTAAATAAATAAAACAGATATAGAAAAGGGACAAGATGTTTTTTTAATTTCATCATGTATTTTTCCTTAATTCTGGTCATACTTCTAAGTCAACGTAAGCTGCTAAAATCTCAACAAGGTTAAATGGTCATATCTTATCCCCCTCTCAACTGATTCTTAGTTTTCAGTGCTCCTGAAGGTGACTGACAAACTGCTTAATTTAAAAATTACTTAAAAACATAAATATATTTTTGTTTATATAGAAATTCCACCAGTTCTGAAAAAACAATTACTTTTCTCTATTATATAATTTTGTTGAGAGATACAGATTTATAGGCACCAAATTATTAAAACTAATTAATATAATTATATGAAATAATTAATGTATGAATTCCACACAACATGTTTCTAGTATATTACAATAGCTCCTTAAGTTCCTGCTATTAAAAATAATAATGGGGGATCTGTGATGAAGAAAGAAGCTTTATACAGGCTTTGATGGTTCTTAAAAACAGTAGTTCCCTACCTAGCATTCTCTGTATGGGTTGGGAATATAAGTCTTAGCATTTCCAGCCAATACAACCAAAATCCAGGGTTCAACTGAGAAAATTTTAAAATGGTAGATCAGAACATTTGTTCTCATTCGCTTGCTATTCAAATATACAATAATAGAGCCACTGGGGGGAAAAACCCACTTGATTGTTTGGAATAGTTATAATAAGGTGTAATAATATGCTGTAGTTTTTTAAAAAACTAAGCAATGTAAAATTATGTAGCAAAACCAGCACACCAAATCAGACTCAACAGGAAATCACAGCAAATAGATTATTGATACACAAGTATTTCTCAACCTCAGCAACTATAAGCTGTGTGGACTTCAACTCCCAGAATTCCACAGGCAACATTGCTGAGGTAACGACCATACAGCTCAAGGTTGCCGAGATTGAGAAAGACTATTCTGCCCTACATTAAATAAGTGTAATTCATACTACCTCTCACTTTTATTTTCTTTTAGGACCAATTTCACATATAATACTTGATTCCAATCCCCAGGGCTCAATCCTATGTAAAAATGAAGCATGTCATTTTTTTAAAAAAAAATAGATTCTATGGCATGGGTGTCAAACTCTTGGCATCATTTTGCTGTCCCATGATATTTCACAACGTTTTTCCCTTCACGGAGCTGGGGTGGGAGTGGCTCATTGGCTGCCAGTTTGACACCCCTGTTTTATGGGATACCATTTGTTACTTTTTTTTCCAGCTACACAGTATTTATTATAATCTCTTTTTTCTATGAAGCCGTTATTATAGTATATGCTCTGTAAAGGCTGGATAATAAGTGGTGAATTGTTATACTTAAGACAAAACTTGTAAAAGCAGAATGTTTAAAGCCCATTATTTTTCAGAATTAATAGCCACTACTTAGTAAGTGTTCAATCACCCCTCTTTATAACCCAACAAGCTTATTTTTACAAGTTGCTCCCAAAACATTCAGCTCAATTAATTACTGGAAAACCCAAACACCAAACATTTCTACAAGGAAAGACAGAAGCTAACACACTTCAGGATTATTGGCTTGTTTTCCAAACACCATCCTAAGAAATTACTCATCTACTCCACTGCTATTTAGTTACAACAGCACATTGTCTATACTGCCTCTTTTGAACTCCAGAGAGAACATAAAAGTTTTCAATGTATATTTTTATCTTCATTAAAAACAAACCCAGCACTAGGTTTAAAAAATACCCACAAAAGAAGATGGAGACATTTCAGTGCCACAAGTGAGACATTTTTATATAAACTTCAACTGAATTAAATCATTTGGCCGACCATACTTCTTGCATGATAGAGCACATGTTGAGTTAAGAGTCATTTTTACAAGGTTGTATGGAAACGGGGCTAATACGATGACAATTTTTCAGGGCCTGACCTTATCGCAGTTGTGCACTGAGGCTACAAATTGGACACTTGCAATCCTATTACATGGAAATAAATTGGAAATGACATATTATTTATACAGATGTATACATGCCTCTTGATATTTGGAGGGAAGAGCATTTAACTTTTATTTATTGCTCCAGTAAAATATAATTAAGTAGTTGCTACCTTGACATGGCAGGATGGCAGGATACAATAGCATTGCTTACATATCTGGATTGGCTTATTACTTTGCAGCAGAATCAATTCTTCACAAAGGCAGAGAAGACCCATCCTGGAAAGCAATCCAAGACAGACCTACAAGCTATTTTTATTATGTTTATAAGAAACAGGTTGATACGCGACACATCAATATTGGTTTGAAAGCAAGTCCTATTATTTTTGATGGAACACATTTTAAAACAGGCTGAAGTCTTCTGTACATTTAGTTAGGACTAGGTCTCATTGGATTCAGATAAATTGGATTGCTCCCTTTACATTCTGCAAATTTTCATAATTTGAACAGTTGGAATCAGATCCCTTTTGTTATGAGATATAAAATTATCTGATAACAATATTATCTGCAGCTCATCCCCAGTGAACTAAACAGAGTCTACACTGGTATGTACATTTATATGTAAGAAAACTCCACTGAAATTAACAGGATTTATTTTGAAGAAACAGCATTTGCTTGTACAATATTTATTGTTTATTTTAGAGTATCTGCAAATCCTAGCATTGTGCATATTTCAAAAATGACTCTGGAAAAATGTTTTGCACTTTGCATCAACGTACACTTCACAGCTATTAATTACAGAAACCTGATTTTTCTGGCTCCATATGAGTCTGAATAAAGATGTCACTGCTTTATGGAATAATCCATAAAATTAATGTGACAGTTAACCCCTGTCGCCTCAAATCCTGACCCCCACATAATTTAAATTAGGTTGTGCATCTCTGCATCCTGCTTTTTTTCTTTTCTTTTCGCAGTCCTTGAATCTTGTTTCACTATGTCGAGGAAATGCATCACCACAATACATAGCATTTTGGCAACAAGAACCTGCTCAAGTCATTCCAACCCTTCCAGAAAGTCCTTCCTCTGTCCAAGGGTAAGATGAAGTTCTACACTTTGTGTCAGATCCCAAAGCCTATGGCTTACAGAAACTTTTTGTCAATGTATTTAGAGGTAGTCCTTGATTTATAGCAGTTCATTTAATGACCATTCAAAATTACAACAACACTGGAAAAAAGTGACCCATGACCATTTTTCATAGTTATGACCCTTACAATATCTCCATGATCACATGATAAAAATCAAAATTCAGATGCTTGGCCACTGACTCATATTTGTGGATGATTGCAATGTCCTGGGGTCATCTGATCTTCTGTTATGACATGCAAGTCAATGGGAAAGTCAGAGTCAGTTATCAACCATGTTACTAACTTAACAACTGCAGTGACTCACTTAAAAACTGTGGCAACGAAGGTCATAAAATGGGGCAAAAATCACTTAACAAATGTCTCACTTAGCAACAGAAATTCTGAGTTCAATTGATGGCATAAGTTGATGACTACCTATACTTTATTTCCTAAAAAACTGATCATCCCTGATGCAAATCTAAAGGCAAATAAATACACAGAAGCTGACATGCTGCAGTTCATTTTTGCCACTGCCTTTGGTCAGTACTCAAGATCCAGAGCAGCCTTTCTCAACTTTTTTTTTTAACTTAGGAAGAAGCCTTGATATAATTTTTAATAGATTTTTGTTCATTAGGACTGATCTTTTTTTTTTTGCAGCATGATTATTGTTAAGCAATGAAATAGGAGAAGAGGAGATTTTTTTTTAAAAAAAATTAAAGAATGAGAAAAGGTGTTATGTCATACAAATTGCTTATACAATGTCTGGAAGGAGGGGGGAGAGAGTCATTTTTATATATTTTCTTTTCTTTTTTTCCCATTTCTTTTTCAGTTTTAATATTTTCTTTAGAGACTATTAGATTTTCATTGTATTTGTAAACGTTAATAAAATCATTGTAAAAAATTAATAATTTTTAGCCCTTAGGAACTTTTGCATAAAAGTGATTATGTCTATAGCTAATATTGCACAGCAGGCAAAGTTAAAAAAAAACCCAGTGTGTTTGTTTGGGTATGCATGCATGTGTGTGTGTGCATACTTTTGCATGTATGTCTTTATGTGGTTTACAACCTCTGGTACAGGATTTATAGGATCTGGAAAATCAGCATTGCTTCCTTTTGTGCTAGAGTCATGGCTAGCACAATTCCTTCTCACAGAGTGAAAGGGGAAAATGGCTTGCTGACATTTGTCATTCTCAGTTTTGAAGAAGGTTCACTCTTCCGAATCCATCGCCCAAATAATAGAATTAACTCTCCATTGTTACCTAATTATGTTTTATTCAATGAACTCAATTGCTGGGGCTGGCAGAAGATACTTAATCATAAATTAACTGCATAGACTCGGCTCATGCAACTCACCAGATTTAATCTAATTGGCTAAGTTAACAGTTCACATGTCATGTAAATATAAGCATCCTTTTCCTTTTTCATCTTGCTACTGACTTGACAAACTAAGTTTCAACTATTGACATAGAGTCACATTATTCTTTAGGGCCCACAGCTCAGTGTCTCCTCCCCCTTTTTAAAAAAAATATCAGGGCCCTCAAACCCTTGGATGTTGGATTTCTAAAAGTAGAACTGCAGATATAGCTTTTCCCATTTACACAGCTCAATAGCATCAGGACTGTATCTGGGTTTCTTTCCATCATGCAGTTTTTGTTCATACAAAATGGTCTCATTTCAGATCTGGAAGATCAGAGCAGATGCATCACTGTCTTGTTTTGTAAGGAAGGAGATGAGAGTGTCCCATCTGAATGCTGCCAAATATGCTTGTCAAGCACAGTAAGTAAACGATATGCTAGGTATCTTCCTAGTAAATTGTTTTGGCAAAGGAGCAAGCCAGATTTAGAGAACAGTTCACACTTGATCAATGTCTGTTTCGTCATCAGATAACAAAAAAGGGCATTTCTTCCTCTTAGGTCAAATGTTATGTGTGCTTTATTGATTTAACGGCAAGTTTCAGACTGATTCTTAGAAACAGGCTACAGGGGAAATTGCCTGCCATCTTCATCAATTAGGGTTGCCTCACCTTGGTCGTAAAATCTCATGAAAATAATTCTATGCAACTCTGTTGTAGTTCTCCAGAGCATCCTGCTCTCTCTCTCTCTCTCATTTCTAAGTGAAAAGGAATGAAACAAGAATGTACCTTGTCATCTATCCTTTTCAACTCCAATAGATTTCCTGGTTTTGTCTGAAGTGGAATTTCAATCCCAATGTTATCCAATTAACCTATTTCAATTCTTTTCCATGCATAAGCAATAGCGTTCTACCCAACATCTCAAGTGGACTTCAGATATTTTCTACAAGCACCCTGTAGAAAGAAAAGTCTAGTTGTCAAAACATGGCAAAATCAAAAATCAAAAACTTTTAGGTTCTCCAAAAGACCTGAAGCCTGCCACCACTGTGGAAAATTGATGATCTCGGCAATGATCAGTCCAACATATTCAAAGAGTGGAGCATTGCCATTAAAAATGAACAATTAAGGGATGTTCATATAATGTTGCAACTACTAGAAGGGCTTGCACATATAATGTTGCAAATACTATTCTGTGTTATGCAAATCATAATGGTAATAATCATGTACCCAGATGCAATAAAAATCTATAGAGCAAAGGTCACGAGCCTTTTGGCTTATGGCACCCAGATATATAATTACCATAATTTGGCTGTTCTGTAAGCTATCAAATGTAAATGTTTAAGGACCTTGCTGTGAGTTCCCAGTGTGTTCTCAACCCCTTGCTAAGACAGAAATTCAGTTTCACTTCCACAGAGACTCATATGTAGCTTTGCTGCTTGAAATTTGGGTTGAAACTCATTTTCTTTGAGAGTTTCTTGGCCTCCTTGACCTTACAAGAGAAATTCACATCATAGATGGCAAAATGTATTGTACAAAGTGGGAAAAAAATATTTTCAACTCAGATTCTGAAAGATTTAAAGGATATCCTAACTTGTTTAAGTTCACCCTGATGACATGTTCCACTTGAGTCACAAAATAGCCTTTTAATATTTTTTATTTAAGATTTTGCCATTAGCAATGCTGAAAGTCTTAATAAACAATTCTCTGCAAATTTCTTATTGGAGAAATTTTAATACGTTCTGCAGGTACTTCTTCACTGCAGGTACTTCTTGTACAGCTTGGCACAGGGATCTAATAACTAATAAAGAAGGTAGGATGATCACAAGAAAAACATGCACATTGAGGCAATACCTTTACAAAGAGTTACATGGTATTTGCAGAGTTATCTGATGTGGGATGCAAATTCTGAATGACTGTTTAATGCTTTCAACAAAGCATTAAAACTTTTCTCTACTTCTTTTCAGCCATCTAGTTGTGACCCATATTTTGGTAACTCATCTATATGCTTAAGTCTCATTTCAAATGTGAGGTCATAATCGAGGTATCTTTCAATAAGATATGGTTCTAATTGCAAAGCACAGCAGGGGGTAAGATGGATGGATGGAGCTGAATCACTGGTGTAGGGAAGCTGACCTAGAAACCAGGCACAAAAGTCAGCTGGTTGACTTTGGGCCAGTCACTCTCTCTCAGACCAACCTACCTCAGGAGGTGGTTGTTGTGAGGAAAATAGGAGGAAGAAAGAGTATTAGATATGTTAATTTCCTAGAGTTACTTATATAGTAATAAAAGCAAAAAGCTAAAAAGATAAAAATCAAGCAAACAAATAAATAAATAAATAAACAAACTGGGATGATTTTCCTTCCTTCCTTCCTTCCTTCCTCCCTTCCTCCCTCCCTCCCTCTTCTCCCTCCCTCCCTTCCATTAAATTTGGAAGTAATTATACTGCTTCAAAAAGATAGAAAATCAACATCTGGCATAGTTGTTAGAAAGAGGCTTGTGGGCTTTTTTTTTTTTTTTTTTTAAAAAGTGAGCATAAATCTAGTCTGTATAGTGTTAGGCATAAGGTTTAGAGATATTGAATCTGGCAAAGTTTCTTCTCCTGTACCGCTATGAAAAGTAGGACTCAATCATTGCACCCAAGTATCCATATGCAACTGATGATGGCTAGATTATGTGATACTGATCTTATAGATATTCTATTCATACAACATTGAACCCAAGATTAATACAATCACAGCTTCTTCAATTTATCTAATTTTTCTGTGTTCTTTTGACACATTAAGCATAAATCACCTACACAGTTTCATTTGTACAGTAAAGTGATTATATTTTTGGACATCAATGTTGTGGAACATAGCCAGTTTTCTTCCCTAGAAAACTGATCCAAATTTGTTATGTTTTCTGCTGTGAAAAGCAATTCAGGAAGAGAGATCAGTTGGGCAATAGGGGAAATGACCAAGGTTTTCTGGAGTTGTTTTTCTGCATGTGGTGTGCTGACCATCATGCTAACCATCTGTGATCTGGATTATTTTCTCTTCCGACAGCTGATGGTTTTCTGTTACCTGTTCATTTAATAAAAGACATCAGATATTGAATCTGGGTTTGCTAGCTGAACTTCTTTTAAAGGTTATTGCCATTACCTGCACTGGTTTGATAATATAACCCAGGGTTGCTTGCATTGAACCTGAGATTAAGATACCTTTTAGAATTAGAAATAGGACATCCTATTTCATATACAATACACAACATGGCATGCATGCATCTATGCATCCATCCTGCCATAATTCTGAAGGATTCTTGATGTTTAAACATTCACAAAAATTAAGATTATTTTTTAAAACATTATGCAACATCTCAACCTTTCAATAATTTATCAGCCTTCAATGTACAGCACAGATAACATGTGACAAATGTTTTCCATAAAAGCTCTGTATTGATTCCAGAAGGTAACCAAATCAGAGGTGGTATTCAGCAGGTTCTGACCAGTTCTGGAGAACCGGTAGCAGAAATTTTGAGTAATTTGGAGAACCAGTAAATACCACCTTTGACTGGCCCCACCCCATATATTCTCTGCCTCCCGAGTCCCAGTTTATTGGGAGGGAATGGGGATTTTGCAGTAAACTTCCCCTGGAGTGGGGAAAGAATGGAGATTTTACAGTATCCTTCTTCTGCCACACCCACTAAGCCACGCCCACAGAACCAGTAGTATAAAAATTTGAATCCCACTACTGAGCCCTAATTTTTATGAGGGCAGGGGCTATTCCAAAGGCCTGGTGCTATTATTGAAAATCTCTACAAACCTCAACTTCTTTCAGCTCCCAAAAGTAGTATTTCCTAGCAAGATGAAATGGGTTGAGTATCTCTAATGGGAAAACATGGTCTTGGAGGTAATTTGGTGCTAAGCAATAAAGGAAATTTTTTTAAAAAGTCATAAATGAGAAGGAAATTAAGAAGCCAATTGATAAGAAATGCCACCAACAAATGCTGACTAATGTGGGGAGGGGGCACAAGGAGGATTATAAGGAAAAGTGTAAAATATCCAGAAATATTAAAACTGGGGCGGGGGGAGTCTATTTTGGAAGTAGAAAACACTAGAAATTTGAGAAAAATAAAGTATATCCACTAATAATGATGCAAACCTTTTGAGATCCAACATTTTATGAATGCACAATGCAATATATTTAACTTGGTTTATTCATGCTGGTGTCATTTATTTATTTAATGTGAAAGTATAATTTAATCATTAATTAAAATTTTAAAAGTTTTTAAATATTTATCTTGTGCCTTTTTTTGAGCCTAGTCAAGAAATGACCCACTAATTTCTAGTTAAAAAACCAGCAGCCAACAAGCCCCCAAGCTAATCAGACCTTCTTTCCTTCCTTTAATGGTAGAATTCTCCCATTTACTTGAGGGAGCATAAATGGTTCATTCTCTTGCATTTGAGAGATGTCTTCTGTGTATTGATTCTGTAGTACAGGTAGTCCTTGACTTATAACAGTTCATTTAGTGACCATTCCAAGTTACAAAAAGTGCTTTATGAAAATTGCTCACACATATGACCATTGCAGCATCCCCATGCTCACGTAATCAAAATTCTGTTGCTTGGCAAGTGGTTCATATTTATGATGGTCGTAGGGCTCCTTGGTCACGTGATGAGCTTTTGTAACCTTCTGACAAGCAAAATCAACGCGGAATCCAAATTCACTTAACAACCATGTTACCGGCTTAACAAATGGAATGAGTCACTTAACAATGATGGCAAGAAAAGTCATAAAATGGGGCAAACTCACTTAACAAATGTTTCACTTAGCAACTTAAATTTTGGGCTCAATTGTGGTCATAACGTAAGGACTCCCTGTACTCTTGTGCTCTCACTCTTCAATCTTTCTATTACAAGTTAATATAAACCATTTTTAGAAATGCAAATTGGCAATATATGCACATCTTATATTAATGGATTAATTATTCTAACAGAAAACATTTTGTTAGCATGTCTTTACTCTTTTCATTTTCTTTGAAGACAACACATACCTTGGGGAACATAAATAAAAACACAGCCTAGGCAATGGCCATGAAAAAAGGTATTTCAACCCATGGAAGGAAAAGAGGGTAGGAAACAACATAGATGGGACCTTCTCTAGTTTTCTGGAAAGTAAAAGCAAGAGAACTGTTTTCAGACTTGCAAGAGTCTGTTAATGTAACCTTGCAACAAAGGTGGTGTTAACACTCACGGTTTGTGCTTCTTGTCTAAACTACCGCCAAGAGCTCACATCAATCTTGCATACCTCCACAATAAAAACAAATTCCATAGAATTTACATCCTGCTGAAAATTCAACCACCTAATGTGCAGCTTTTTAAACTAAGGATGGCACGGAATCATTTTTGGGTGCAAAAATGATTTTTTGTATTTGGTATTCATGTTTT